GGGGGTTGGGAGGTTCAATGACAGGTTTGGTGGAGGCAAGTAGGATTGTAGGAAAAAACAAATGTAGTGTTGTTTACTGTTGTTTATATCAAGGGAATGCGGTTGCGCCCAGAGAGAGAAGGGTGTATAGGATGGGAAAGCTGAGGATAATCTCCACCTCAGAGTCAGATACAACCGGAGCACCACTCGTCCTTAGATGCAACCCTAAGTGGAAAAGCTGGGGACACCTATGGTTCTCTTGACTGAAAACACAATAAAAACTAACCCTAAACAAATAAAAGAAAATATTTATAATAATAGATAACTAGGAGGGGGAGACCCTCCCCTTGTGTGGCAGCCCTAACCCAAACTTAGGGTTGGCCACTTGCCGAACCGGTTTTGCACCTTTCTTGCTGAACTAGCCAGTTCAGCCTTCCTCAGGTGAGATTCGTGTCAATCTTTTGCGATTGGGGGAGCTTCGACCTCATTTGCCAAAACTTCTTTCTGCACATTGAAAGTAGCATACTTTTTGTGATCTCTCGAGATTGAGAGTCTTCGACTGCGGTTCGAGAAACACTTGGATCACATTGGTGACTGCACTATGCCCAAAGCCTCTGAGGGTTTTTTCGTACTTGCAAGAAAACCTCCAGTTCGATGGGTACCCTACTGAGCTGAACCAAAATTTTGTGCTAAAATTGTATTCTACTGAATGCTCCAAAAACAACTCGAGGTTGGTTTAACCCGATCTTAGGTGACAGTAGTTTGAATCTCTCCAAATGGTAGCAGCCACGGTGATAAGGTGTCGATCATGATGTCCTATAATGCTCTCTGTTGTGAATGTCATGTGTTCGGAAAAGACACCTCATTCCTAGCATCCTCCATCACCAATATTGATCCCACCAACGCTTTTTCTTGCTGGTAAGAACATATGTGATCTCGGACTCAGCAGAAGGTAGAAGGAGATGCACTTGCCTTCTTTGGTGAAAGAGTAAGTGTTTCTGAACCCATGGTGCTAAGTCCTATGGTCAAATTTTCACTATCTCCCAAACAAATAGTGACAAACATCCATGGGCACTAGGTCGCACCACATCTGAACTACAGCTGGCTTTCAATCAAAAACTCTGCTAGAAACTTGTCAATGTTGACCCTGTTTTTCAACCAATTTAGAAATACGGATGGGAATGCCTCTGAGGCATGAGGCTCAATTTTTTCACGATTTGCATAAATGTCATGTTCTTGTTGTTCTCTCAATTGATGAGCCCTTCCCGCTGTGAATTGATCGAGTCAGAGGAACATATCATAGTCCAATATCAGGGGGCCTGAAGCCAACTATTTGCAACCAACCTTATTGGACACTGGGAGATATCCAAAACTTAGCATTGAAGGTGGAGAGACAGCAAAAACATAACAGACAACCTCCACCGGTATTTGAAGACATCAGCAAGAGCACGCCTCAGGGAGTTCAGAAGATTGGTTTGGAAAAGGACAAAGCAACTCAAAACACTTTATAGTCCTAGCTCAAAAATACTTTAGATGCCATGAATTTGGGCATATCTCCCCTAGTTGCCCGGTGAGCCAGTTGTGTCATTTACTGAACATGATGCACTGAGGAGGTTTAAGTGATAAACATGCAGCTGAAGGGGGGTTTGGACGGCAGCTGGGTAGGAGGACTGCAAGAAAACAACTGTAGGGCTGTTTTCGGTGGTCCGCAACAAGGGAATGCAATGACGGTCAGGAAGAGAAGGTTGTGGAGTATGGGAAAGTCGAGGATAATCATTATCTGGAGCGAGATACAGTTGGAGCACTTCTCGTCCTCGGATACAACCCTAAGTGGAAAAACATGGTGCATTGATTGCTCTCTTGATTGAAAAAAATAAAAAACTAACCTTAAACAAAGAAATGACCATATTTATAATAATAGATAAATAGGAGAGGGGAGACACCTCCCCTTGGTTGGCAGACCTAACCGAAACCTAGGACTGGCCACATGCTTATCCGGTTCAACATCTTTCCTGCTGCGCCAGCCAATTCAGCCACTCCCAAGTGAGCCCCATTCATAGGTTCCCTTTTATTTGCTGTGGAGTAACCAATACATTATATATTACATCAAAATTTTCTTGTAGTTTTTTTTTTGGTGGTCAATTGTTAAAAACTAATTTATGATACCTTAAGATTTCATAAAATGTCTCATCCCAAAATAAACCAAATAAGATATCACAAATGTCTCATCCCAAAATAGGCCAAATGACTAAATATAGAATTTTACAAATATGACGAGATCTCTTAACATATTTAGGGGAATCTATTCTATGTAGAAAAAAATTGTGCCTGGCACTAACTGTAGCATCATATTTAACTGTATTATGTGTTAAATGAAGTATCTTTGTTTATGTTACGTATATATGAATATGTACTAAGAGGTGGAAGCTCTTTTGAAGGGAATAATCTTCTGGCAGTTTCGACATGTTGAGAGAAGGGCAAGAGACGCATCGATGGACTTATCGATCGAATAATGTGAAAGGAATAGAAAACAGAAGGGTTAGACTATACTAAGATAACTACATTTTATACATCCAAGGCATATACTAGAGTTAACACCTAATAAAGCATTTAGGAATGATTTGAGAAGAATAATTCATTCACTATCCTCAAATAAGGATATTGAAGAATTAAGTCCGCTTTTTATCATGGTAGGAAGAACAATTCATAGACTTAACTTTGGTTCAAGCACGACGTGGCTCAGTAATTTCTCATATTATAAGGAAAAATTGACATGATAAGTGAATTCGATGGGGATAATTAATAACTAGTAGCATGAAGCCTGAAATTAGGTTAAGTGGGAGAAATGGAACTGGGCTTATTGCATGAAATTAGGGTACTTAATATATATCCTTTATTAGTTTTTAACAGCAAGCTGGCGATGAGGTAATATGATCCGAGCCATGGATGTTCTGGACTTGGCTTGTTTGCTCTAATTATTTAATAGGTTGAACTCTCATCCTTTGAGGTATTGATCGCTTTGGCCTAATAGCCTCATGATTTTGTCCAATTGATGGTACTCCCCAGGAGGTCACCCATCATTAGAGTGCTCCCGTACCAGCATACTGAACTATAGAGTTTACAATGAAATTCTAATCGTTACAGCAAAAGACGCTAGTGTTTTAGAGTTTAACTTTATTTTGATTAAGGGGTTTCACATTCTCCCTCATTTAAGAGCAATGAAGTGAAAATCAGATATTTTAGTGGACTTGAGGGTTTCACAAGCTTGCTGGTTCTCATGGAAATTTGGCTAGTTTACTTTGGTGTATTCAGGGTTGTAGCATCTGAACTAAGAACTTAATTAAGAACAGTACTCTTCTTTTTTACTTTTTACGTGGAAACAAATATTTCTGTCGTGGCATTGGTTTGTCCCACTATAATCTTTAACTTATCACTTGCACACACACACACACACACACACACACATATATAAAAGTGGAAAGGGCTTCGAATTCAAATTAGAACAATTAGTAGATATTTTGTTTCTCACATATTGTGGGCATTCTCAAGGCGCATCTTGCTATGCCTGGAATTTTTCTCACTCTAGTATAAACACTTAACTTCCTTTTTTTTTCCGTGTCAGCCAAAGCCTAGAATAGATTATACTTTGAAGGCTATTGGAGGAAGCATTACTGCTATTCCTGGGCTTTCCGACATGATAGATGTGAGTATGACTTGTTGATTTTTATTTCCCTCTTTATCAAAAGTATTCAACTTTAAATCCAACTAGTTTTTGCTGCGACTTTGCTACTCCAGGACACTGTGCATTCAATTGTTTCTGACCAGCTTGAGTGGCCCCATAGAATTGTTGTTCCACTTGGTGGAGTGGATGTTGATATAAGGTAATAGTTATCACTCTTTTTCTAATTTTGCAGTATTTTAACTTTATATAATTTTTTTTGAACAAACATTTTATAAAGATTTGATTGACAAGCTTTATTCAGTAGTCATATACGGTTGATGAGTTTATTGTGTGAACTTGAATGTAGAAAGGATATGGCAATTGCACAAGGCATTCTTTGTATTATGTAATTTAGTGCAACTTTGAACAGACAATGAGATCCTTTTTTCTATTTCTTCCTATATTTTTTATTAATTCAACTAACTTCTAAACTTTTGCCCTGAATGTCCTTAGAGTGTTTCATCATTTTTAAACTAAATTACTAATCCAGAGTTACCCATTGTATATTGAACACAGAACTTTAGGAATTAAAATTTTTGTTTGCTATAGCTTTTTAACCTCTTCATTATATATTTTTATCATTCGAGTCATTTCCCCCTTTTGTATTATCTATTTTGCTTGTCTCTCTCCACCCCCATACCCTATCCCACCCTTAATCTATATGTTTTTGTATATGACCATCTCATTCTCTAGGCTCTATATGTCGTGAGATTATGTTTCTTCTTGTGTTTCCTGGTTGGATATGATTGTCCCATTGCAGCGAGCATAAGCTACGTTGTCTCTTACTTTGTTGTGGAATATTTGGGATTTTAGATCTTGGAAGTAAATGTCACACCTCAACTTAACCCCCTTTATGGGTTGGCTAAGGTACGACAGAGGCGGACAATTTGGTTAGAATAAATCCTCAACAACACTCGTCCTGACATATAAAATCAGGACCCAGTGGGTGATCAACTAATTTAACTAAATCCGCAATTATACTTGATACATTGCATTTTATAATTCCTTTATATTTATACTCGGAAGCGGGAAAAATTATATCATTAAAACATGTATCTACAAAACTGCTAAATCCAATGTAATAAAAGTACGTATCAAAAAATTTTACAAGCTCCCAAAACTATAAATGTAAAAATTGTACAACTCATACTTGTCTACTCGCACTGGTGCTCATGACTCCTTCCTGAAAGTAAACAATTTAAAATGTGCAACACGGAGTTAAGCAAAATAATAGGCTAAAATAAGATTTTATGTATAATAAAGAAACAACGTGTATGCTCATATGAAACTATACATGTATACACATAAGACAAAATTTACTAGAATTGTATAGAACATGAAAAGAAAATAGGTAGTATAGAAATTATGACTGCTATATAAAAGATGTATAGTCATAAGTCATAAGTATGTTCATGGTAATGTAATCACGACAAAGTCATCATAGTAGTGTCATCATGATATAGAAATGACACTTATAAATGTATAGACCTCAACTATTTCTATTAACTATCATATCATGGGTCTTTTTTTGCCCCAAATGTTATATTAACTACGATAAAGGTTAGCTCCCCAACATAACAATTATCAATATTCTCTTGATACTAATAGTTTCTTATATTTTGTCACCGTCTGATCATAACGGATGTTTAGTTTCGTTGTCGTCTGAACACAAGGTGTCAGGAATACCACATTGCTGCATAGTGTACTTGCAATCACTTATGTAATATCTATCCATAACATTTATTGTGACATTTTTTAATATATAATACCTATAGAAAATATTCATAGGCATTTCATATATCTCATGTATGAATTATAGCAAATGAATATTCGTATGAAATTAATATCATAAGCATAGTCATGTAAGCATGAACATAACATAATATTATCACATGTATTGTAAGAAGAAATCAACTTGCATTTGTACGTTCAATGCATTTCTATTCCTTCATAATATGTAAGCAATTCTAAATGTATGTGTCAAATGAGAAATCATATGAAACCTATATAAGATTATTTTTTTTAATGTTAGAACAAGATTTTTCACCTTACTAGACGAAACGACTCTTTTCTTATGCTGGCCTCAAGCTTGCTGCCTGGTGTAAATAACCTGGAATTCTTAGGCAATTTAGGATTTCATGAAAATTAATTCATAACATGCATTAACCCAAAACATGAATGCCCACACATACCTCAAACGGGCTTCATGGCATAACCCAACATTTCTCCGATCCACCTAAATTTCTCCCCTTTTCTTCTTAACACCTCAATCCTCCTTCGCCTCACTAAAATGATGCTATTAGCCCTTACGGAAGCTTGCAAACCAAGTTTGACACTTACCATGGCTACCGAAAATAAAAAATTGTACAAATTCGTGGCAAATGTCAAAACAAAATTGTAACGAAAGAAACATCTCAATTAACGTAAAAGAGGGATTCACACTTCCTTGGTATCGCTCGGTTCGCCCTGTTTGCCCCAACACTATAGCAAAGGTCTCTGGATCTTACAGGTGAGCGGAGGAGTCGACAGAGACCAGTGCATAGGTAGGATTAGTGAAGGATTAGGATAATTAAAGGTTAATTAGGTTAATTAAACTTAAAAATTTTAAATTTTATATCTCCCAATCCGTTAAAAATTCATGAATAGTGTTATATATCGAATTGATCGATCCAATGCATAGGATTTTATAAAGTCTCTTCTATTGAATTTTGAGGAATGCGAAATTTGGGTTACTTTTTAAAATTTATTGAATTTCACCTGGTTCTCAAATTTTGGGTATTACACAACACTCCTCTCTTATAATATTTCATCCTCAATTTCTGGTTTTACTTGAAGAGAGGGATATCTTTGTCGCATTTCTTCTTTTTCCCGCGTGGCTTCCTTTTCAGAATCGTGCTTCTACTTTTTCTTTACAAAAGAAATTTGTCTTCTCCTTAGGTTTTTAGCATCATATTCTAAAATTGTTTTCCGACGTTTCAATATAAGTTAGATTTTTCTGTATGTCAATTTCTTCATGTGAAATCCTTTGCTCTGAATTTGAAACTTATTTTCTTAACATTGAAATGTGAAACACATCGTGAATATCTGACATATTTGTAGGTAATACTAGCCTGTAATCAACATGCTTAATCCTTTCTATAATTTCAAAAGGAGCAATATACCTGAGAATCAACTTACTTCCTTGAGCGACTCTTGTTGTACCTCTCGTTGGCTTGACTTTCAAAAACACAAAATCACCAACTTCAAATTTTACTGCTTAGTGCTTTGGGTCATTATATTTCTGTTGTATGATCCCAAGCAACTTTCAATCCGTCTCTGATTAACCTGATATTCTCTGTAGCTTCATCAACTAGTTCGGGACTTAACATTTGGTGTTCACCCACTTAGACCCAACTTAGTGGAGTTTTTCATTTCCTGTCATAAACATGACCATAAGACATTTTAAGAATACTTGATATTGACAAGTCCATCTCCACCTTGTGAATGAGACGTGACATTATGATCACAAGGTTAGTGACTATATATTAATATGCAAAAAATAAAAAAAAAAACCATAAGGCTCCACTTCTATAAGGTGGTGTATGTTAGCCTTGTATAAAAATAAAATAAAAGTAATGCTCATTTTTATTGCTTACCTCTCTTTTTTAATCCAAGGTTTAATTTAAATTTGTAATCAATGAAAGTGTTTATCCCATTAGCCCTTTCTCTATGATTAATCTGGTTTATTAGATGCATTCTTTTATTATGCATTTTATTTTGTTTGCCCAAGTAAATTTGCAAATTGTATTGCACCACATCAAAATATGAAGATGTTGAATGAAAGGAAAAAATATTTAAAGAAGATTTTTCTAAATATTAGAACGAGTGAAATTGTTAATTTGGAGTTTGCTAGTCAAGGCTCAGTGTTTTATATTTTTGTAAAATGATTTTTTTTCCTCTTTTGGTAAATGCACCTTCATCCCTCATTTTATTAAGAGTATCCAAAAAGTATTCTTAGGTTTTTTTTCATCTCATTTTTTTCTTTTGGCGCAAAATGTTGGCCTTTAAAAGAGAAGTATAAAACAAAATTAAATGTTGTTGAGATCAGAATGCTTAGGTGGACGAGTGGCTTGACACTTGGAGACAAAAAACGAAATGAATATATCCGTGATAGGGTTGGTGTAGCTCCAGTGCCCGACAAGATTAGAGAGAGTCGTCTTAGATTGTTTACTCACATTAAACGCCGACCATCTGATGATCCTCTTAGGAGGTAGAAGTTTTAGATTCGACTTATGTTAAGAAAGGCATAAACAGGCCTAAAAGAATTGGCTTATTGTATAAAAAATGATTTTAATCTATTAGAATTAAATGAAAATATGACACTCAATAGGAGACGCAATGGAGAAAAAGAATTCACGTAGCCGAGCTCACTTAGTGGGATTAAGCCTTGTTGTTGTTGTAGTATTCTTTTGAGTATAAATAATATTGAAAAAAAAAAATTGGAAACTTTATTTGGATAAATTTCCTTTAGCAAAGCTTCATACTATCCTTTTATTTTGTCTATTTTTCCCATAGTTATGGCTGGATTTTCACTCGCAAGGGATCACTCCTTTTTCATCTGGTTAAAGATATTGCAAATTAATATAATTAGTTTTATTCATTAGGTTGGATTCAAACATTGTCTTTTTGAATTTTTTGCTCTTTCCCGAAGGTATTTTCTCTGTCAATTTCTCATATTATTTTTTAATACGTAATGGTATTATTACTAGTTATTGTTGGATTTGGAATCCTTAGTGTAGTGTAGTGTCTTGGTTGATTGCTCTCTTTGGGTGGAGTCTTATTTTAGGAACGATTCTTTTCCTTTTTTTCTATCCCATTAGGGCTTTGGCATCTCTAAAGAGTACGTCATGCAGATTTCCTCCCAGAGGATGAATCTCACACATTCTTCATATGTTGATTTACATTAACCGTTTGGACGCAACTTTTTTTTTTTTTTTTAATGTTACTAGTACTTTTGTCACCTTCTGCTCTACATTCTCTTCATGAAAGTACACCATTTAACAAAGGCAATGCTGACAAAGTTTGGGAATTTCTCTTGCTCTCAGCTCAACATTATCTTCATGAGGTGACTTTTTAATCAAAAGATAATTCTAAAGATATTTGGGATCCACTCTTGTTCTCTATTTGGAAAATTTGGAACAAAAGGAACAACAAATGCATTTCTGATATAAATAGCATAAATTCTCAGAGAAAAAGAGAACTTTGAATTTTCCATTTCTCTATATCTTTTTAGGCCTATTGTTTAACTTTCTTTTTCTGAAATAAATTCTTTTATTTAATCGTCTAATTCTTCATTGCGTGATTATTTCTTTGTATCCTTATTATTTCTCTTAATTAGAAGGCTTTCACAGCTTCTGAAAAAAAAAAGAAATGCTTAAATACATGATTGTTTAAACTAGTCATTCTTGTTTTGAAGATGATTATCAACCATCTATTTTTCTCGCAGTGACCTTGAACTCAAACCGCAAGGAAGGATTTCCGTTACAGTGGTGAAGGCAACCTCTTTGAAAAATATGGAAATGATTGGAAAATCCGATCCTTATGTGGTTTTGTATGTACGTCCTGTGTTCAAGTTCAAAACAAAAGTGGTCAATAACAATCTCAACCCTATATGGAATGAAACGTTTGAGCTTCTTGCCGAGGACAAGGAAACTCAATCCATCTTTTTTGAAGTATGATTTAATTGCTTTAGTTCGTTCCTTGTATGATCATTAACTATTATAGCATGCAATTCTTCAGCAAATAGTGAAAACTGAAACTCTATTAGCATGTTTTTGTTGCATTTATCAAACTAATTTTATTACCTGTTGATCTTGTTAGAATTTATGACCACCATCTTCTAATTGATTTAGCTTATTTTGATAAGTCTTCTATTTCTCTTTATCTTGCTATGCATACATAGGTACATACATGCACATGCATGCATAGATACATAGACACATACATAGATACATACAGGCATGCATGCATGCATACATACATACATACATACATATATGCATGTATATAGATACATAGATATATGCTTGTATATAGGTACATAGATATATACATGCATACACACATAGATACATAGATGCATACATGTATACATATATAGATACATAGATATATACATGCATCTATAAATTCATACATAGATGCTTACATCCATACATGCATTTATGCATACATACATTCATGCATATATGCATGCATGCATACATAATGCGCTATACATACATCAATACATGCATAGATACATGAGATACATACATCCATACATTCAGACGTACATCTGTACGTACATCCATACATCCATCCATGCATCCATACAAACATCCATCCATCCATCCATACAACCATCCATCCATCCATCCATCCATCCATCCATACAGCCATCCATCCATCCATCCATCCATCCATCCATCCATAGATCAATCCATACGTACATGCATACATCCATCCATCCATCCATCCATGGATGCATACATATATATCTATATATACATCCATTTATCCATCCATCCATCCATCCATCCATCCATGGATGCATACATATATATCCATACATCATACATATATATCCATACATCCATACATAATCCATACATACATGCACATTCATGCATGCACATATGAGGGGTGTCAATCCACATCAGCTGGTCGGGTTCCCGATCTGAATATGCCCCAACCAAACTTGACTCTAAAAATATACAAGTCAAAAATCTCAAACCGAACCCGACCCGCTTTTAACACGCCAACCCGAACCCAACATATATGACCCATTTAACATGACAAATAATAGCTATTTGAGTTAAAATTGGGTCAATTTCAAGTCAATTCTAGGTTGACGTGTCGATTTCAAGTCAATTTGGGGTTGGCGGGTCAACCCGAATCTAGCCTGAAAATTAAACGAGTTAGGATATTCAACCCAAACTCAACCTGAAAATTATTCCGAGTCAACCTGAACTCAGATTTTACAAGTCGGGTTCAGGCGAGTTGGCATGTTGGGTCAAATTTTGATACCCCTGTTTAGAATGATTTAGAAATGGCATCATACTATAAGATTCAGGAATCATGCTTTAGAAGAAAAGGGGTTGATGCAGTGAAGTGATGTTTGTCATTGAGTAATTATTTCTCAATCCTCATGTTATTTTTGGTTCGGCTATCATCAATTCAACTTGGAGGTTATTGTCACAAAGAGGGCATTCTTTCAGTGAAAGAGTAAGATTATGTACATTAGCTCGTTTCCAAAGCTCACACTTTCTTAATATCAAACCTGCCCCATTTTTGGTGAACTTCTGCTCTTACCATCACCTTAGTCACCATATTTATTCTTTTATTTCATATTGGATTTGTGTTTTACTTAACATTCCAAATTCCAACTTGGATCGACTTCCTTTACCATTGATTTTTCAAGCCCCTTCTCTTTTATCCCTCTTTGGCTTATCCTGTTAGGTAGCCTTCTCCAGAGTGGAACATCCTAATGCCCATCATACCTCTAGTCTTTTGTATAAGCTATTTGTGAGCCAAATGATAGTATTCGTTCATTCTTATGAAAAGTAATATTTCTATATTTTCTTAATCAACACGTACTTTCACATCCTTCTAAGATTCTCTCTAAGCACCAAGGGAAATTTGCACTTATTTCACTGACAAGGAGATCATTGGGCTTATTAGACCTCTTTATTTTTTTATTTTTAGCAAATTTTAGTGGCTCATCCTAATATGAAGATTATCCATTGCTTTTTGTCTCATTTATCATTATCAAATTATCCTTAAAGATTGACTGCACCGAGCTTTTTATAGCTTGACTTAACTATATCAGTGGCTTTTTAATACGTTTGCTAAAATGTTTGTCCCATTTTAAACTTTTAGATGAACCACCAATTACTCCAATATAGATGTCAATTCCTTGACTTCGGCTACATTATTTCAACCATTCATCACTATATTCATTGAGTTTAATATTTGGCAAACCCTTATAAGTTGATAATGCTTTTACTCATTTCTCTTAGTCATTAATAGCTCGTTTCCTTGTTGAACTAGATGCTATTTCTAACTTGGGAAAAGAGGTTTGGGTTGGCTCCTGAAATTGTGGGATATTTGTTGAAACTCAGATTAGAACATCCAATATTATTGCACATTCTGCAAGATTTTTGGGCATGTTTACTCTATCTAGAATTAATGAAATCAAATTCTTAAATACGTAATATACTACAAAAGGATTAGTGTCAACTTGCAGCCACTCTTAAAATATCCAAGTCAAATCAGGCCTGTAGTTGGAACTTAAAACCAGCTTTTCCTTTGGGTTTAGAGCCTATGTCTACTCCTATTTATCATCTAGTAGTGGCTTCTCTTTCACTACCAACACCCCACCTTCCCTCCAAATTCCTTTCCACTTATCTGGAACGACCCAAGTTGTGTACGACATCTCTTTCCATCCCCTCAAATTTCTCTAAATGCTTCCATCTTCTTCTATTTCACAGATGTGGGTACTAACATATGTCGGCTCTTTAGCATATAGGATGTTTTGGAGTTCACCTAGAATTGCTGGAGTAAAAAAAAAAATATTGTCACCTCCTCCGTTTTCATCAGACTTTAATCTAGGAGATTCAAATGAGGCATTTTATAGTTCTCATGTATCTGGGGATTTAGTTCCTCAAGCTTTCACTTTATCTGTATTTTGCTTATGACCCTTTTCTCTGGCAATTCTTGTTAATTGACCTTAATGTACTTGTATTATATTCTCGTTATAATATTTTTGACTTTATAAAAAGCTATTGCATATGTGGGAGCTTATTGACTATTGCAATTGATGCTCCTTTTGATACTTGGATAAGGCTTGCTGCATGAGTTTTTTTTTCTTTGCCCGGCCAAATAACATTTTTGGACAAAATTACCTGTAAATTAATTTTTGAAACCTATCATTAGTAAATGGCTTGACCGTTCTGTTTCAATTATGTGTTTAAGTTTAGTTGGTCCTTCTTGAATTTTCTTACATTTTCCATCACTGTTTTCCTTTAAAAAGAAAACAAGCATCTTTGATGCTGTGCTGAAATCTTGCTACTTTTTTTTGCTGTTATCTCTAGGTTTTTGATGAAGATGACCTTTCACAAGATAAGAAATTAGGTGTAGTCAAGTTGCCGTTGGTTGAATTGGAAGCTGAAATTATTAAAGAATTTGAGCTTCGATTGCTACCTTCACTGGATATGATGAAGATAAAGGATAAGAAAGACAGGGGGACTATTACTGTTAAGGTCAGTAGCTGTATTTTCTTTTAATAATTGGATTCTAAATGGAAATAACTATAAAGATATTGGCTTGATCATTTTTACACAGATTATACAAAATACAGCATTTTTGTCGCTACTAAGATTGCATGCACGTCAAATCAAGTTCACATAGCAATCAGTTCTAAGATGAAGTCCATCTTAACCATTGACCAGAACAACATTTTTTTTTTCAAATACAAATATAGGGGGTATAGTAGTAAAAATGGCAGATGCTCCAAGTAATTTCTTTCAAGTAATTCTCAAAGACCTATCCATTCTTTGTGTTGTTTATGTAATTTAAAATGTCATCATTTTAATTATGAAACCTAAACTTCTGATGGTGTAAGGTGGATGAAACAAATTCTTAGAACGCTAAAAAAAGTTTAGATAAGTTATCATCTTAAGCTGAATGAAGTCCTAAATTCCTTCTTCCTAGAGCCTTTAATTTACTGTTCAATAATAGCATACATTAATGTTAAGGAAGATACTCAGCATAAAAGGACATCTCACATGCTAGGATTCAAAGATTATGATTTTTAATGTTTAAGAGGTTCCTACACGATCATTGAAGTGTCAATGTGTTATGATAATTCATTGATTCAAGTTCAAATATCGAATACATCTTGAGAAATCACTATCCTAAAGCATACGGATGATGATGGTTTGGGTATTATAGGAAATTCTTTGAGGCTTAGGTCTATATGTACATTTAATTTGAGATGGTTCTTGAGAGTCTAATATTGAGGTTAAGTATCTACATAGTTGAGTACATTAGTCATGTACGTGACGTTCCTTAAGTAGAAATTTTGAGTTAACCTACTTCCTTCAAGAACTTTATGTAACTGGGCATTTGCTCTAGGGCCTCAGTAAAAGAAATATTAATTATCAGTTTCTTGAAAACTTCTAGAAATCTCGAAAATTATTGATCAAGTTTTTGTTGTTGCCGTCTTTGAGAAACAGAGTTGGAGGTTTTTCTAAGTTAATTCGAGTTGGTGAAACTGATTTTTCTAATTCCTTAGAAATATTTTTCATAGGTTTTTCAAGCTCTAAATGTTTTTTCTCTAACTCAAGGTTCTCCTGAACTACATCTTCCAACTATTTTCCGCTCCCTAACTTCACAGTTTTGACGTGCTCACTATTCTTCTTCTTAGGGTTAATCTCTGTATTGCTAGGAAGAGTTCCTTGAGGTTGATTGCTAAGTGAGTTAGCAATCTTTTACAACTGGTTCTCACTATTTCTTATAGCAGTACATTGACTTTGCAGTTGATTCTCCATTTGCAAAACAACTTCCTCCAACGACTACTTTTTCTCCTTAAATTGTGGGTTCTAGTTAAATCTAGGAGGATGGGAATGTCTAAAGTTAGAATTAACTTGAGTTTAATTCCCATAAGAATTTGTTTGATTATTACCCCATTGTTGGTTTCCTCCACCATAATTGTTATTCTAGTTAAAGTTAGGGTGGTTCTTCTAACCTGTGTTATAGAAATTGGAATAAGGATTGTTACATGGATGAATTAGAAAAATACCTTGAGGACATCGGTCTGGGAAGTATTTCGTTAAGAAGAAGTAGGTGAATGCTAATTTCATGAAAATGAGAGGGGCGGCTTGCATTCAAGTGAAGGTTGGTCGATAGTCTTATAAGTATTTGTGATGCAGGAGCTGAAGCTCCACAAAAACCCGTAAAAATACTGTGACAACATGAGTTTTTGTTATTCCTGCAATTGTGGGATAGGAGGGCATAAGTCCTACCCGTGAAAACTTTGCTTACGGAATTTTCTACTTTGGTTATCATACTCAACATAATCATTTAGGTTTTCCAGCCTTTTTTCTTATTTCTCTTCTTCTAATTATATTTATTTCTACACGAGAGTGAGGAGACTTTGACTTTGTTTTGAGTATTATGGAGATTGTAATATATATTTCCACTAGGGGGTATTTGGTAGCTCTTTATTAACAAGATTTATCTATCGAATTTACTAAATCCAACCAAACATAAAAAAACACATGTTTTATAGATTTATGAAATTTCAGACATGTTAAAATCTAGATTTAATAAATCCAACATGAGGTTGTTTTTAATAAATCCAAATTTACTAAATCCTTCTAACATAAATCCTTCTCGTAGTCAAACACTTCCTAATTAGTGTTGTATCATCTTCCTTTTGCAAATGGTTTACATTTAGCTTGTGGAGGAGTATATGCTGACCTAAAATCATAATACAAAGAATCTCTCTTGAAGAAAAAAATTTATTGGAGAAGATTTAAATGGACATGTTGGTAAAATGATAAAAGATTTTAGAAGTATTTGCGGTGACTATGATTTTGGAATGATTAATGAAGAATATAGAGTTATATTAGATTTTTTTTTAGCTTATAATTTTACTGTTGCTAATACTTATTTAAGAAAAGAGATGAAAATATTATCACTTATAAAAATAGATCTAATAAAATATATTTATTATTTTCTTATGAGAAATATAGATCTTCAAGATTATAAGGATTGTAAGATTATGCCAAGAGAAAATTTAAGTACCTTATATTGGTTAGTAGGTTTGGATTTTAAGATTACAGATTGGAAAAAAAATACAATATAATATTATTATAAAATTAAACGGGAGCACTTAAAAGACAAATAAAATTATTTTTATGAGTAAATATCATGGTCTTATGATTTTGAATGTTCATGAAGAAGCTAATACTATATAGGATAAAGTAAAGGGTATTATTAAGTAAGTTACAAAAAATATGATTGGAGAAGGGAAAACTTTTATAAATATAAATAATTGGTGGTAGAATAATAATGTGCAAGTAAAAATAGGAAATAAGAAATTTTGTTATAAAAATTGGTTTAAATGTAAGATTTTGAGGATGACAAAAAATATAATGTGACGTGGAGAGTCTAAGAGAATAATTTGTAATATTAAAGGTTCTACTTTTCATGATATTTATAATATATTAGATACTAAAACAATTGAAAGATAAATTTGTATAAACTAGGCAAGCAAAAAGACAAGAAAAACAAATATTTAGTTTACGTGTATTAATGTTGAAAATAAAAAAAAAAAAAACTATTTTTTTAGATGAAATTTTCAACATATGTGAGGGAGATATTTTGATAAATATTTTAATGAAGATTGTGAAAACATGATTGAATTTAGTGATTTTAATATCATAAATAATAATAATTTTTTATTTTCAATAGAGAATTAGTATAATAGAAGTTGAGGAGACTTTAAAGATATAGTGTGGAAAAGCAATAGGATCTGAAAGTATTTAAGTAGAAGTATATAAATTTTTAGGAAACTGTGAATTTTTTGGCTTACTAAACATTTTAATATTATTTTAAAAACTAAAGAGGTGTGTGATGAGTGGATAAAGAGTCTATTAGTTTCTACTTTTAAAAATAAATGGATACATTAGAGTTTACAAATTATAGAGGAATTAAGTTATTGTGCCATATATTAAAACTATGGGATAATAATTGAACATAGTTTATGATGTAAGACAAAAAATTATCAAAATCAGTTTAGATTCATGCAAAGCAATTCTACTATGAAAGTCATACATTTATTGAGAGGTTCGATGAAGAAGTATAGAGAGAGTAAAGATGAACAACATATGATTTTGTTAATTTAGAAAAAAACTTATGATAAAGTTCTAAGAAAAGTACTTTAGAGAGTTTTAGAAAAGAAAGAAGTTGATAATGCTTATATTCAATTCTTTAAAGATTTATGTACTAGAGTTGTTACCTGTGTTCGAACACAAGATTGAACAAGTATTTTTATATCTCAGTCGGATTGCATCATGGTTCGACTTTAAGCTTATATCTTTTTGCTATAGTTGTGGATGTTATTACTGGAAATTTACAGGAGGATGTAGCTTGGTGTATGTTTTTCGTTGATGATATCCTTCTTGTGGATAAGACTATAGAGGGGGTTCAGGGAAATTTTGAGTTATGGAGTTCAACTTTGAAGTCTAAAAATGTTCATTTGTGTTGATCTAAAACTGAATACATGGAATCTAATTTTAGTAATATTAGAGCTAATGGCGGGTTGTAACAATGAGTGATCAAGTCATTAAAAGGAGTGAACATTTTGGATATCTCGGGTTTTTTTGTTCAGAGTGATGGTGTTATAGATGGGGATGTTACTAAGAAGTGTTAATGTTGGATGGTTGAATAGGATGAATGTATCATGCTTATCGTGTGATAGAAAAACATCGCTTAGACTTGAAGAAAGAAATTATAAGATGGTGGCGAGACCTGCAATACTTTATGGCGCAAATTATTTGCCTGTAAAAGAGAAGCATAACATTAAGTGTTGTTGAGATGAGAATGCTCAAGTGGATGGGTGGTTTTACGCTTTGAGATAAAATGTGAAATGAATATTTTTATGATTGTATTGGAGTAGTTCCAGTGGCAGACAAGGGTAGAGAGTCTCCTTAGATGGTTTGGTTACATTAAACATCGACCCTCTGATGACCCTGCTAGGAGAATAGATGTTTTGGATTTGACTTATATTAAGATAGGTAGAGGTAGACCTAAAAAAACTTAGGGCATGCTTTATAGAAATGGATCTTAGTTTATTAGAATTAAATGAAAAATGACACTCAATAGAGCACAAAGGAGTAAAGGGATTCATGTAGCCGACACTTATTGAGATAAAGCCTTGTTGTTGTTATACACTAGTCAAAACATTGATCGAAATAAAATTATACAATGCTGCCTAGTAGAAATATGCATAGAGTTATTTAGAAGTTTATTATGGAGGATATGCAGTGAAAAACCTTCAACTCCAGGAAATGTTTGCCATCTTTGAGAGAAGACAATCTGAAGACGTCACTCATAGTCACAATGGTGACTCTCTAGATTGAGGGGAGAAAATAAATCTCTCGTATCGGGAAGTTTTAGTGACAAAGAATCAATATCCCGATAATTTGACATGGAATATCATAGAAGTCAAGATCTTGCAGTAAATGTGGATTTA